CACAGACCGATAAAAATACCCATTATTGGCCCATACAAGGCAAAGGGTACTGACTCCTGGTTAAACGTTACATGGCTAGAGGCCCGGTGCACGAATTCGTGCACAGGTGGGGTCTGGCTTGCCCGCCCAATCAGGCTGGAGGGGTCCGATCGGGGGCGGGACTGGCCATGGGGAGGGCCCGGGATGGTTGGCTGGCCAGCCCCGCCCCCTGTTCCAACTCCTGGCCGAACTCCTGGTCGAGGGGACAATGTGCATATTAGCTTTTTATTACATAGGATTATCTATTAAGAATGATAAAAAAAAAAAAAAGCCCTAGCCAGTGTGGCTCAGTGGATAGAGCGTCAGCCTGCAGACTGAAGGGTCCCGGGTCCGATTTCTGTCCTGCCACTGCCACTGGGCTCACCCCCCATGAGCCCGGCTACTGGTTGTGGGGCACTTCCCTTGTGGGAAGCGCACTGACCACCAGGGGGCAGCTCCTGTGCTGAGCAGGTTCGAGTGTCTGCCCCCTGGTGGTCAGTGCACGTCATAGCGACTGGTCGACCAGTCGACTGTCTGGCCCTGGTGGTCAGTGCACGTCACAGCAACTGGTCGACCAGTCGACTGTCTGCCCCTGGTGGTCAGTGCACGTCACAGCGACTGGTCGACCAGTTGACTGTCTGGCCCTGGTGGTCAGTGCACGTCATAGCGACTGGTCGACCAGTTGACTGTCTGCCCCTGGTGGTCAGTGCACGTCACAGCGACTGGTCGACCAGTTGACTGTCTGCCCCCTGGTGGTCAGTGCACGTCACAGCGACTGGTCGACCGGTTGACCGTCTGCCCCCTGGTGGTCAGTGCACGTCACAGCGACTGGTCGACCAGCCAACAGTCTGCCCCTGGTGGTCAGTGCACGTCATAGCAACTGGTCGACCCGTTGACTGTCTGCCCCCTGGTGGTCAGTGCACGTCATAGCGACTGGTTGACCTGTCGACTGTCTGCCCCCTGGTGGTCAGTGCACGTCACAGCAAGCAGTTGAGCAGCCTTAGCATATCATTTGCATATTACGCTTTGATTGGTTGACCGGCCGACCGGCCGACCGGACACTTAGCCTATTAGACGTTTATTCCACAGGATTTGCATGAGTCGGTGTCAAGGCCCTTACCTATGATCACGTGCATTTCAAGGAGCGCCAGGCGCCTGCAGGTCGCCAAGCCGATTCCCTCCGTGCCTCCCGTCACTATGGCAACGCGGCCGGGTTGCCGGGGGAAGACTGTGAAAGTGGAAGAACGAAGCAACATGAAATAAGAGTGAGGTTGAAGGGTTGAGGACACGCCTGGGTCAGGATGCAGCCCCCCCAGTGGTTCTAGGATGCCAACGGCGGCCCCAGTCCGTTACCTGGGGTCCTGATTGGACTCCCATTCCAAAGCCACGGAATCGCAAACATCAAGAATCTTTGGTGCCTGGCTGGTGTGGCTCAGTGGTGAGCGTCCAGCTATGAACCAGGAGGTCCCGGGTTCGATTTCCGGTCAAGGGCACAGGCCCGGGTTTGCGGACTCGATCCCCAACCAGTAGGGGGCGTGCAGGAGGCAGCCGATCCATGATTCTCATCATTAATATTTCTATCTCTGTCTCCCTTCCTCTCTGAAATCAATAAAAAAATATATATATATTTTTTGCAATTATATTATTTGCAATTGGGGAGGCGTGACTATGATACCTTCAATGACTATGAGTGATTAGATCTGGCAGAAATATCCCTGATAATGTCTGATCCCGCCCGTACTTATGTCTTTGGGAGAATCTGCTAGAATTTGTCGCCCAAAAGATTCGCACAAAAGTCCGGAAAAATAAATGTATAGTGTTTATTGGCACGGGCGAGACTCCTGGGTACACCTTTGCAGGAAATATATACCTGGGCATTCCAGAAACATGTATACACACTTTAAAAATATATATATATATGTGTGTGTGTATATATATATACATACATACATATACATATATACATATATATTTTGATTTCAGAGAGGAAGGGAGACATAGAAACGTCCATGATGAGAGAGAATCATGGACCAGCTGCCTCCTGCACGCCCCCTACTGGGAATCGAGCCCTCAACCCGGGCATGTGCCCTTGACCGGGAATCGAACCCCAAACTCCTGGTTCATAGCTCGATGCTCAACCACTGAGCCGCGCCGGTTGAGCTATAAAGATATTTAAAAAAAATCCATCTAAAACTTTAGACAATAAAAAAAATATATTAAAAAATATCAATGCACCCTTATTCATCATAGAAAGATCTTATCCGCTTACAGGGGCTTAATACGGGCGTTATTCCAAAGAAAGCCAGCGAACATTGTTCCAGCAAGAACGTGGATGAACCTGAAGGTAACTGCACCAAGTGGAAAAATACAAAATGAAAATAAAAAGCAAATTCGAAAGGGTTCCTTTGAGTAGGTCTCCGTTTATAGGATATCGTGGGGTGCTTTTTTTTCGTATGTTTTTATTTTTTTTTTTCCATTTTATAGGACAATAGAGGCCCGGTGCACGAATTCGTGCACGGGTGGGGTCCCTTTGCCTGGCAGCAAGCTCACCTACTAGTGGGAGTGTCTGCCCCCTGGTGGTGAGTGCACGTCACAGCGACTCGACGACCAGTCAACAGTCTGCCCCCTGGTGGTCAGTGCACGTCACAGCGACTGGTTGACCCGTCGACTGTCTGTCCCCTGGTGGTCAGTGCACGTCACAGCGACTGGTCGACCTGTCGACTGTCTGCCCCCTGGTGGTCAGTGCACGTCACAGCCACTGGTCGACCCGTCGACTGTCTGCCCCTGGTGGTCAGTGCACGTCACAGCGACTGGTCGACCACTCGACTGTCTGCCCCCTGGTGGTCAGTGCACGTCATAGCGACTGGTCGACCACTCGACTGTCTGCCCCTGGTGGTCAGTGCACGTCACAGCGACTGGTCGACCCGTCGACTGTCTGCCCCCTGGTGGTCAGTGCACGTTATAGCGACTGGTCGACCAGTTGACTGTCTTCCCCCTGGTGGTCAGTGCACGTCATAGCGACTGGTCGACCGGTCGACTGTCTGCCCCCTGGTGGTCACTGCACGTCACAGCAGGCGGTTGAGCAGTCTTAGCATCTCATTAGCATGTTACACTTTGATTGGTTGAACGGACGACCGGACACTTAGCCTATTAGGCTTTTGCTCTATAGGATTGTTGAAATGACACTGATGTTACACTCAGAGAGATAAGTGGTCAGGACGAGGGGGGATATGGGGGTACGGAGTGAGGCAAAAGGAAGGGGGCGGAGCTCCAATTTTTTGGGGAGGACAGCCTTGTTCTGTGTCCAGACCATAACGGGGAAATTCCAAGCCTCCGTGTTAGGACTAGGGTTCAGGGTTCAGGGTTAGGGCTGGAGTTAGGCTTAAAGTGTATGGTTTCGTGTTAGGGTTTAGGGTTTGATTTAAGGTTAAGGGTTAGGATTAGGGTTTAGGGTTTGAATTAGGGCTAGAGTTTAGGGTTAGGTTTAGGGTTTGGGTTAGGATTAGGGTGCTAGGGTTTGGGTTAGGTTTAGGGTTTATGGTTTGGGTTAGGGTAAGGGTTAGGGGTTAGGATTTCGGTTATGGCTTAGGATTTAGGGTTAGATTTAAGGTTTAGGGTTTGGATTAGGGCTAGAGTTTAGGGTTTGGGTTAGGGCTAGGGTTTAGGGTTAGGTTTAGGGTTTATGGTTTGGGTTAGGGTAAAGGTTTAGGGTTAGGATTTCGGTTATGGCTTAGGATTAGGATTTAGGGTTAGATTTAAGGTTTAGGGTTTGAATTAGGGCTAGAGTTTAGGGTTAGGTTTAGGGTTTATGGTTTGGGTTGGGGTTAGGGTAAAGGTTTAGGGTTAGGATTTAGGGTTAGGGTTAGGTTTAAGGTTTAGGGTTAGGTTTAGGGTAAGGGTTTAGGATTAGGATTTAGAGTTAGGTTTAAAGTTTAGGGTTTGGGTTCGGGCTAGGATTTAGGGCTAGGGTTTAAGGTTTGGGTTTAGGGTTTGGGTTAGGTTTTCGGGTTGGGTTCAGGGCAGTGATGGCGAACCTATGACACACGTGCCAGAGGCGACACGCGAACTCATTTTTTTTTTTTTGGTCGATTTTTCTTGGTTCAATGCCATTTAAATATATAAAATAAACATCAGAAATATAAGTCTTCGTTTTACTATGGTTGCAAAGATCAAAAAATTTCTGTATGTGACACGGCACCAGAGTTAAGTGAGGGTTTTTCCAAACGCTGACATTGCCGAGCTCAAAAGGTTCGCCATCACTGGGTTAGGGTTTGGGTTCGGTTTTAGGGTTTGGGTTCGGTTTTCGGGTTGGGTTTAGGGTTTGGGTAGGTTCAGGGTTTGGGTCAGGGCTAGGGTTTAGGATTTAGATCAGGGTTAGGTTTAGGGTTAGGGTTGGGTTTAGGGTTTAGATTTAGGGTTCAGATAGAGGGTTAGGGTTTAGATTCAGGGTTCGGGCTTAGGGAGCAGCCTGGTTTCATCAGCCTCCGCCCATGGGTGCCGTGTTTCTCAGATTTCCGCCAGACTCTCCCCGCACGGAAGGCCGTGACTTGTGCGCGTTTGGGTTCCTTGAACCGAAAGTGGGACCTCCCTTCCCGGTTCCGTTGGGCCGGCTGCAGATGGACAACTTCAAAGTGGACCCTGGGAACAGGTCTCTGTTAGGCCCCTTTTGCTGAAACTCGAGTGGATGCCACAGAAAATTCTTGTCGTGCCGAACGCGCACCCCAGAAACCCCATCTTTCCTCATCACATTTCCTTTTATTTTAAAAAAAAATTATATATTTTTTATTGATTTCAGAGAGGAAGGGAGGCAGAGATAGAATATTAATGATGAGAGAATCATGGATCGGCTGCCTCCTGCACGCCCCCTGCTGGGGATGGAGCCCGGAACCCCGGGCCTGTGCCCTTGACCGGGAATCGAACCCTGACCTCCTGGTTCCTAGGTCGACGCTCAACCACTGAGCCACCCTGGCCGGGATCAGATATACTTTCAAAAATCCTTTTCCATTTTATTGAACGTATTGGGGGTGACACTGGCCAAGAAAATTATTCAGGTTTTAGAGGCACAGTCCCAGGACACATCATCTGTATACCGTCTTGTTTTGTTTAAATATTTTTATTGATTTCACAGAGGAAGGGAGAGGGGGAGAGAGAGAGAGAGAGAAACATCCATGAGGAGAGAGAATCATGGGCCGGCTGCCTCCCACACGCCCCCCACTGGGGATGGAGCGCACAACCAGGCCATGCGCCCTTAACCGGGAATGGAACTGGGGACCCCTGGGTTCCTGGCTCAATGCTTGAGCCACGCCAGCCGGCTTTGGGGGGAGAGGGAGTCTGTATTTATATCAAAGCGTGACCCCCCAATACCGCCTCCCCTCCGTTCCCCTGTGGCTACACCAAGCCGCTGTCACGGCCCCCAAAGAACCCGCTGTTCACCGCATCCCCAAACGTCACCACCGGCTCGTGGTCCAGCCCCCACTCCCCCTCGTCCTCCTCCTCGGGCTCCGGCTCCGCCCCGCCGCCACTGCCACGCGCGTTCTCGTACAGAAACACCTGCTCGTCCACGCGCGCGGGGGCCAGGCGGTTCCGCTTGGCGCGCACCACGGCGGCCGCGGGTCCGAAGAGGTGCTCCGGGGGCGCGCACGTGGGCGCGACGCACCAGTATTTCTGCAGGACCTTGGGCAGCACCGGGAACAGCGCCTGGCGCTCGCACCACCACTTCAGGGGGTCCTCGTCGAGCCCCAAGACCTTCTGCGACTTGAAGTTGCTTAGTTCCTCCAGCACCTGCGCGTGCCTCTCCTCCTGGTCCTCCGCGGCCCCCGCCTGCGGGCAGAAAATCTCCGCCAACATGTTGTTGATGACGCTGGAGGGCGGCGGCGGCGGCTGCGTCATGGCGCACGGAGGCATGGCGCACGGAGGCGGGGCGCTCGGGGCTGTGGCGCACGGGGGCGCGGGTTTCTTTTCAGGGGGCTCCTCGGGCGACCCGTACAGCTGCTCCTCCGCGCCCTGATGCCCGCCTTCCTTCATCTTTTCCAGGAGGCCCTTGGCTTCCTCCAACACGCGGCTCTCCACCTGCTGCCTCTCCAAGGCGGACAGGAACGGGAGCTTCTTGTAGCGCGGGTCCAAGAAGGTGGCGACGTTGAGGAACATGTCCACATCGGGCGCCTCCTGGTAGGTGCGCGCCAGCTCCTGGGCGATGAGCTCCTTGGCCATGCTGACCTCCTTGGAGTCCAGCTCTCGGGCGCTGAGCGTGGTGTTGAGCAGCATGTGCAAGAGAGGCTTGACCATGCTGATGGTGGGGTACCGGGAGGCGCAGAGCATGTCGGCCACCTGCTTGAAGGGCTGCAGGAGGCCCGCGAGCGCCTCGATGCCGGCCCACTCGGCCGCGTCCAGCATGAGGTGGTGGCTGTTGCTGTCTTCCACCAGCACCGCGGCCACGGCGAACTGCTGCTCCCTGAGGCGCGTCAGCATGGCCAGCGTGGCGCCCCACCAGGCGACGCGGTCGCTTACCAGCATGCAGTGCGGCTGCTGCGGCTGCTGCTGCTGCTTCTGCTTCTCCAACAGCAGGTACCTGGCCACGGGCGACTGTTGGAAATACTCCACGAGCCGCCGGCACCGCGCCAGCAGCGCGCGCAGCTTGGGCAGCTGCAACGCGCGCTGGATGGCGGCGTCGAACGCGCACCCCAGGCAGCGGAGGTGCACGGGCACGTCGAGGAGCGCGCAGGCTTTGGCCACGTCCTTCCCGCCGTCGGTGGTGGCCGCGGACACCTTGGCGCCCACGCCCCAGTCGATGAAGGCTTCGTAGAGGACGCGCGTCATGGTCTCCGCGGCGTTTTCATCCGGGACCTCGAACGTCTTGAGGCAGCGGGAGCCGTAACCGTGGACCCCAGGGGGTCCGGGGGACGGGCCTTTGGGGGGCGCGCCGCCGCCTCCCCCTGCGCCTCCGCCGAGGCTGAGAAAGTGGGCGTTCAGCGTGACGTAGTTCCGGTTCTGCTGGTGGCTTCTCCAGTGTTCCAAGGTGATGGCGCACCAGGGGGCCTTGGAGAGGTCTTTCAGCACCGCGTCCCGGACAGCTCCGTAGCGCACGGGGATGGCTTTGCTGAAGAATTTCCTCCCGGGCAGCTCGTACCAGGGGTCGGCCGCCCGCAGGAGCGCGCGGAACGTGGGCTCCTCCACGATGGATGCGGGGTACAGCCCCTCGCAGATGAGCCCCAAGACGGCCGCCGTCAGCTCCTGCTGCCTGGTGTCCTGCGCCGTCAGCTGCTGCTGTGCCGTCGCCCCCGCTGTGTCCGGCGGCGGCTTGAGCTTGGAGAAGGCGGTGGCGAAGGCCTCGCGCATCTGCTCCGTGTTGCTCTTGACCAGCTCGCAGAACTCCTCCGCGTGGTTCTTCTCCAGGTGATAGGAAAGGTTCGAGGTGTTGCCCGAATAGGCGATCTGGGCCCGGCAGATGCGGCAGTAGATTTTTTTCCACTGGAGGATGCAGCCCGCCGCGTCCGTGTCGAAGCCGAAGTATTTCCAGACTTTGCTCTTGGCGCGCGGGTGCGCCACCAGCTTGAGGTCCGACGATGGCGATGATGATGATGATGACGACGAGGGGTGCGCATTGGGGTCCGGGGGGGTTTTGGCCTCCATCGTCTCTCCGGGTCTGAGCTGGGTGCCCCCGGGGCCGCCACCGCCGAGTCTCTCAGGCGTGATGACCTAGTGAGAGGCGGCAAGACAGACAGACACACAGTGAAAAGGTATCGGAGACAGGCCTCGCCCCCGGCTGGTGTGGCGCGGTGGATAGAGCGGCGGCCTGTGGGCTGAAGGGTCGCGGGTTCGAGGCCAGGCCAGGGAACCAAAAAAATTAAATTAAATAAAAACAAAGAAAAACAGAAAAAGTAAGTCATTTGGGGCATAGCCAGCATTTTTTATTCCCGTGTTTAATTTTCTTTTTATTTATTTATTTTTTAAATATATTTTATTGATTTTTTACAGAGAGGAAGGGAGAGGGATAGAGAGTTAGAAACATCGATCAGCTGCCTCCTGCACGCCCCCCACTGGGGATGTGCCCCCAACCAAGGTACATGCCCTTGACTGGAATCGAACCCGGGACCCTTCAGTCCGCAGGCCGACGCGCTATCCACTGAGCCACACTGGTTAGAGCTAATTTTTTTTTTAAATAATTCTTTTAGCCCTGGCTGGTGTGGCTCAGTGGATACAGCGTTGGCCTCAGGACGGAAGGGTCCCGGGTTCGATTCCGGTCGAGGGCACGTGCCTGGGTTGCCGGCTCGATCCCCAGTAGGGGGCGTGCAGGAGGCAGCCGGTCCATGATTCTCCCCTCTCCCTTCCTCTCCGAAATCAACAATAAAAAATAAATTTTAAAAAATTCTTTTTTGTTGAAAGTATTACATCTGCCCTCTTTTCTCCCCTCTCCCCCATTAATCCCTCCAGCCCCTCCCCTCCCTGCCCCAAGCATTCACCCCCCCCCCCATTGTCTGTGTCCATGGGTGACGCATCTATACACACAAGGTCTTTGGTTGAGCTATTCCCACCCTCCCACCCACCCTCCCCCGCCTTCCCTCTGAGGTTCCGGACTCTGTTCCATGTTTCCATGTCTCTGGATCTATTTTGTTCATCCGTTTATTTGGTCCCTTAGCTTCCACCGATGAGTGCGGTCATGGGATACGTGTCTCTCTCCGACCCTCAGCATCCTGCTCTCCAGGTCCCTCTGGGCTGACTCAAAGGGTAAGAGATCCACCTTTTTCAGGGCTGTATAGTATTCCACGGTTCAGATCAAGCACATCCAAGGCGCGGCCAGCCAGCCAACAACAACGAATATTTCTGCGCCCGGCCAATAGGACAGTATGTCGGGAACGTTGTAATAAATAGCAATTTCGTCCCTTAATTTTTACACTATCCTGTTAGACGTAATTATTCGTAAGGAACTATAGCGTTCGCCAATGACTCTCGTCGTGTGGAATTCATGTCCCTCGCGCCAGGGGCACCATTTCTCTCCACAAATACCAGCGGCGAATGTTCTAGAGGCCCACGGCCGCGTCCTTGGTCTCGGGCTGACTTGCTTGGGGTGTGCAACGGGAAATATCTCGATTTCGGGGGAACGAGAAAAACAGGTTTACGGGCCTGACGCTCATTCATTTGGTGTTGTTACTCAGTGTCTGGTGGGTTCATGTTCAGGAAGGCACATTCATTTTTTATTTTTTATTTATTTTTTAAATATATTTTGTTGATTTTTCACAGAGAGGAAGGGAGAGGGATAGAGAGTTAGAAACATCGATCAGCTGCCTCCTGCACACCCCCCACTGGGGATGTGCCCGCAACCAAGGTCCATGCCCTTGACCGGAATCGAACCCGGGACCCTTCAGTCCACAGGCCGACGCTCTATCCACTGAGCCACACCGGCCAGGGCCACATTCATTTTTTATTCAATTGCTCTATTGTTTTATGTTCGCGACGACTCGTTGATTTCAGCCCTTTGTACTCAGCACGTCTCTATGGGAATAAACCTAGGTTTCTAGGCAAATGGAAGCTTTTGGGGTTATTTTTTTGCAGCCACGTACACGCAAACCTTGTTTATCTGGCTTGTGTGCGCCTTTGAGTTTGAAACCAGGGGCTTTTTTTTTATCCACTCGACTGCGGGAGGGCCCTTGGGCTCACCCCCCACGACTCCCCCTTTTTTTTAAAAAAAAAATAAAGGGTGTCCCTTCACATTTGTAATATCTTATTCAATAAAAGGGAAAAAAATAAAAATAATAAAGGGTGTCCCAAAATTCACGCAAGAAGTAATTTTGATAGAAAACACAGGTTTATCATTAAAAATTGTAAATTTTTTATTGATTCATAAGGTATACAGTCTAGGGTTATGTATGGAATAGGATGTTGGGTAAATGGGTCACCATGTCGCGATAGCGAGCACCGTGAACTGTTACCGTCTGAGCAGCCGCATATCGGTCGTGGACAATTTCCACAAAAGAGTGCGTAGGTGCCAGCAAAGCCGTGGAGGCCATTGACCCGATGTGCTATTCCATCCATAACCCTAGCCTGTCTGCTTTATGAATCAATAAAAAATTTACAATTTTTAATGCTAAACCTGTGTTTTCTATCAGAATTACTTCTTGCGTGAATTTTGGGACACCCTTTATATATTTATGCGTTGAGCGCCTGCGCCCTGGCGGTCAGTGCGCGTCATAGCTACCGGTCGGAGTGTCTGCGCCCTGGTGGTCAGTGGGCGTCATAGCTACGGGTCTCCCTCTAATTCCAGGTTCTCACCCCAAAATTGAAATGGCTAACGGGTCCTCTTGGTCAATGATTAGCTCGCCGCCCAGGGCAAAGGTCAAAGGTTCCTCCTCCAAAATGACATCCAAGCCAGGCAAACGGGAACGAGGTGAAAAGGGACCGGGCAGGAAGCCACTGGCAGCCCGAAGAGACGGTCCCCGTCCAGTTTCTAAAATGACGTCCATCTGGCCCGGCTGGTGTGGCTCAGTGGATAGAGCGCCGGCCTGGGGACTGAAGGGTCCCGGGTTCGAATCCAGCCAAGGGCATGGACCTGGGTTGCGGGCACATCCCCAGTGGGGGGTGAGCAGGAGGCAGCTGATCGATGTTTCTCAATCATTGATGCTTCTAACTCTCCCTTCCTCTCTGTAAAAAATCAATAAAATATTTTTTTTTTTTTAAAAAAAGAAAGAAAACAAAATATTTACTTCTGTGCAGAGCGGCCGGACACACCCACCCTTCTATGGGGAAAGAGAGGGGGTTGGAAAGCATTTGCACAATAATGCAGGCTATTGGCCATGCGTCTCCCACTGCCAAGCTGGTAAGTTCCAGGCAATGCTGGGGGGAGGGGAGGGAGGGGGCTGGGGGGATAGGAAGGGGGTGGGGGACCCGGAATGGGGAAGCAGGAAAGCTGAAATGACCCAGGAAATACAGCGCTGGCCTCAGGCCCGGGAGGAACCAGCCGCACCTGTTTCCCAATAGAGTTGCTGTCCCCCCTGAAACAGCGGTTCTCAACCTGTGGGTCGCGGGCCCCTCTGGGGGTCGAATGCCCCTTTCCCAGGGGTCGCCTCAGACCGTCGGAAAACACACCGATAATCACATATTGTTTTTGTGATTGATCACTGAGCTTTCATGGTGTTCGATGTGTCACCATGAAAATCCATCCTGCAGATCAGATGTTTCCATGACGATTCATAACAGCAGCCACATGACAGCGATGACGCAGCCACGAGAATAATGTTATGGTCGGGGGTCCCCACAGCATGGGGAGCTGTATTCAAGGGTCACGGCCTTAGGAAGGTTGGGAACCACTGCCCTGACCGGTGTGGCTCAGTGGATAGAGCGTCGGCCTGCGGACTGAAGGGTCCCGGGTTCGATTCCGGTCAAGGGCATGTACCTGGGTTTCGGGCGCATCCCCAGTGGGGGGCGTGCAGGAGGCAGCTGATCGATGTTTTTCTCTCATCGATGTTTCTCACTCTCAATCCCTCTCCCTTCCTCTCTGTAAAATAATCAATAAAATATGTTTAAAAATAATAATAATATGAAGGGACAGGAAAAAATATCCAATAAAGTTTCAAAACACAGAATAAAGAACTGAAATGCATGAATACGTCACACGATATGTTTATATACTGTATAGGGGGTCCCCCCTAGGACCCTAAGAAATGCAAAAAACTCACTGTTCATAATTCATTCTCGAATTATTCCCCCTTAAAAATCAAATTGGCCCCGGCCGGTGTGGCTCAGTGGATAGAGCGTCCGCCTGCAGACTGAAGGGTCCCGGGTTCGATTCTGGTCGAGGACACAGGCCCGGGTTGCGGGCTCGACCCCCAGTCGGGGGCGTGCAGGAGGCAGCGGATCCATGAATCTCTCTCATCATGGATGTTTCTCTCCCTCTCTCCCCCTTTCTCTCTGAAATCAATAAAAATATAGTTTAGGGTCGGGGCGGCCAGGGGATTGTCAGGGGAGGGGGAAAAAAAAAAAAAAAGGTGACATCTGTAATACTCTTTGTCATACGTTAAGCAATAAAACTATTTAAAAAATAAAATAAATATACATTTTAGAAAGAAATCAAATTGACCCCCTGAGGGGCGTGCGCCCCACGCTGGCCACCCCTGGCTTAGAGAGTAAGATGACGCCCAGCCCACCCGCTGGCAAGATTTCTGGGTTTTAAGACACAGAACTAACGGCACCTGCACCAGGTCCCGGTGCAGGTGCCCAGCCCCGCCCACCCCACGTGCGCGCGCCCGGACCCACGCGAGTTGCAAGAACGGATGGCTCGGTGCCTCCCAAACTGCAGAGAAACAAAGTTGCCCCTGAACCGAAAAGCCCTCCCTCCCATCCCTGCGGGACACCCGCCGCTGGGCCCCGCGCGCGCTAGGCCGGTCCGACGCCATCCGGGCTGGAGACCACGACTCCGGGCCGCGCGCCCCTTCCCCGTTCCAGGGGCGGAGGCGGGGCGCGATGGAACCGGACAGCCGCCGCTCGAGGTCTGGTTCGGGGAGTCCAGGCCTCCCACCCAGCGGTGGGGGAATCCGCGGGGCTGGAACCTTGTGCGCCCAGGGCGCGCGCGCGCGGGGTTTGGAGAGGCCCCAGGGCGCACGACCCCCAGGCGCGCGCGCGCTCGCGCTCGGCCCGGCCCCTCCTCCCCGGGCGCGCCCCGGAGTCAAGGTCACGCGGGGCCAAGACCACGCCCCGGCCGGGTGTCGCCCACGCGGCCGCCGCTCCCCGGTTGTCCCCGCTCCGCGCGGCCACCCCCTCGCCCCCCGGCCGCTGACCTGGCTCCGTGAAGCCCCCGAGACAGCGACGCAGCAGCTGCGCCATCATCACCGCCACGCCCGCCGCGTAGACGCGCAGCGCCGCGCGCGCTGCAGACAAAGGCGACATGGCCGCCCGGCCTCCGTTTCCGCGCCGCACGCCGGGGCCTGGGCCGCCCGGGACCGACCCACCGGAGGGCGGAGGGAACCCGCCCAGGCCCCGCCCCGGCCCGCGTCGGCCCCGCCCCGCCCCGCCAGGGCCGCGACCCAGACCGGCAGCCCCGCCCCTAAACCACGGGTCTGCCCCTGCCCGTCAAGGATCCCCGCCTGGGTCCCCGCAAAACGCACCCCCACTCCCCGAATCCGGGAAAAGAGACAACCCCCACCCCCAACTAGGATCACAGGACAACCACCCCCTCCTCCCCCTAACCTTCTGCTTCAGTGAACTCCTGTCCCCAGCGCGGATCCCGCCCAAACCAAGGGGCCTCCCCAACCCCCGGCCCAGACCCCCACCCACCCAGTCCATCCACCTCGCCAAGGACTCCCTCCCGGGACTACGGGACGCCCCCTCCTGCCTGGACCAGGCGACCGCCATCCCCCCCCCCCATACATTGTACTAATGATAATGGCTTGCTTTCAATTTTCATTCATTCATTCATTCACTTATTCCCTCACTCATTCATTCATTTACCCATTCACTTATTCATTCACTTACTCATTCATTTATTCATTCACCTACTCATTCACTTACTTATTCACTCATTTATTCATTCACTCACTCATTCATTCATTCACTCACTCAGTCCATGATTCACTCATTCACTCACTCATTTACTCACTCATTCACTCATTCATTCATTCCCTCACTCATTCATTCACTGATTCATTCACTCATTCATTCATTCTCTCATTCATTCATTCATTCATTCACTCACTCATTCATTCACTCACTCATTCATTCATTCAACAGGATGTTTGCTTTCCAGACCGACCAAGGACTCAGCTGGACCCCCAGGAGGACGAACCATAAGCCAAGCTCCGCCCATTGCTTCCCGAGGCGCCTGGACTTGCCCGTTGGCTGCGACAATGATACCATTTTCCAGGAAGGACTCGTTGGCATCCATTCCCCCAGCATTTGTCCAAAGGCCTCATTGGGAAGCCAGCCATTTTGCTCCTGGATGAAAAATACGTGAGAAATACTTGGCAAGAAACCCTCGCTGGCTGTGCCATCCTCGCTTAGAAGTAATTAATGCAGCCCGGCTGGCGATGCTCAGTGGTTAGCGTCGACCTATGAACCCAGAGGTCACGGTTTGATACCCGCTCAAGGGCACATGCCCGGGTTGCAGCTCGATCCCCAGTAAGGGGCGTGCGGGAGGCAGCCGATCCATGATCCTCTCTCATCATGGATATCTCTCTCTCTCTCTCCCTCTCCCTTCCTCTCTGAAATCAATACAAATCTATATATATAAAAGCCTAACATGCAAATTGTCCCCGCGGGAGTTCGACCGGGGGACCGATCGCCTGCTTGCTATGACGTGCACTGACCACCAGGGGTGGCGCGGAATGAATTAAGGCCCCGGCCAGCAGCTGGCAGGCCCCGATCGGCCCTGATCGCCAGCCAGGCCTAGGAACCCTGCCTGTGCATGAATTTCATGCACCAGGCCTCTAGTGTGTGTGTGTGTGTGTGTGTGTGTGCGTGTGTGTGTGTATGTGTGTATGTTCTTTGTTGAGCCCTAATTTAAAATTTGCCATTCAAAGCATTTTAAATTTATGTTCTACTTCTGGCACATCCTGTAGGTATATGTCATCGCAATAAGAATTTTGCGAAATACATAGAACATGGCTCTCTCTACTCCCTCCTCACCTGCAAACTGGCGAAACCATACAACGCAATGCACACGCACACACACACATACACACGCACACACACATGCACAGGTACATACTCATGGATTGTGTGATTCTGTTGATATACATACTAGAGGCCCCGGTGCATGGAATTCGTGCATGAGGGGGTGGGGTGTCCCTCAGGCCAGCCGGCACCCTCTCGCAATCCCGGATCCCTTGGGGGATGTCCGACTGCCGGTTTAGGCGGGATCAGGCCTACACCGGCAGTTGGACATCCCTCTTGCAATCGGGGACCAGCTGGCTCCTAACCACTCTCCTGTCTGCCTGCCTGGTCGCCCCTAACCACTCTGCCTGCCTGCCTGATCTCCCCTAACCACTCTACCTGCCTGCCTGATCGCCGCTAACCACTCTACCTGCCTGCCTGATCGCCCCTAACCACTCTCCTGTCTGCCTGATCACCCCTAACCACTCACCTGCCTGCCTGATCACCCCTAACCACTCGCCTGCCTGCCTGATCGCCCCTAACCACTCTACCTGCCTGCCTGATCGCCCCTAACCACTCTCCTGTCTGCCTGATCGTCCCTAACCACTCTGCCTGCCTGATCGCCCCTAACCACTCACCTGCCTGCCTGATCGCCCCTAACCACTCTCCTGTCTGCCTGATGGCCCCTAACCACTCTACCTGCCTGCCTGATCGCCCCTAACCACTCACCTGCCTGCCTGATCGCCCCTAACCACTCTCCTGTCTGCCTGATGGCCCCTAACCACTCTACCTGCCTGCCTGATCGCCCCTAACCACTCACCTGCCTGCCTGATCGCCCCTAACCACTCTCCTGTCTGCCTGATCGCCCCTAACCACTCTACCTGCCTGCCTGATCGCCCCTAACCACTCTCCTGTCTGTCTGATGGCCCCTAACCACTCTACCTGCCTGCCTGATCGTCCCTAACCACTCTACCTGCCTGCCTGATCGCCCCTAACCACTCTCCTGTCTGCCTGATCGTCCCTAACCACTCTACCTGCCTGCCTGATCGTCCCTAACCACTCTACCTGCCTGTCTGATCGCCCCTAACCACTCTGCCTGCCTGCCTGATCACCCCTAACCCCTCTGCCTGCCTGATCGCCCCTAACCACTCTACCTGCCTGCCTGATCGCCCCTAACCACTCTCCTGTCTGCCTGATGGCCCCTAACCAATCTACCTGCCTGCCTGATCGTCCCTAACCACTCTACCTGCCTGCCTGATCGCCCCTAACCACTCTCCTGTCTGCCTGATCGTCCCTAACCACTCTACCTGCCTGCCTGATCGTCCCTAACCACTCTACCTGCCTGTCTGATCGCCCCTAACCACTCTGCCTGCCTGCCTGATCACCTCTAACCCCTCTGCCTGCCTGATCGCCCCTAACCACTCTACCTGCCTGCCTGATCACCCCTAACCACTCTGCCTCCCTGCCTGATCGCCCCTAACCACTCTACCTGCCTGCCTGATCGCCCCTAACCACTCTGCCTCCCTGTCTGATCGTCCCTAACCACTCTACCTGCCTGTCTGATCGCCCCTAACCACTCTGCCTGCCTGCCTGATCACCCCTAACCCCTCTGCCTGCCTGATCGCCCCTAACCACTCTACCTGCCTGCCTGATCACCCCTAACCACTCTGCCTCCCTGCCTGATCGCCCCTAACCACTCTACCTGCCTGCCTGATCGCCCCTAACCACTCTGCCTCCCTGCCTGATCGCCCCTAACCACTCTACCTGCCTGCCTGATCGCCCCTAACCACTCTGCCTCCCTGCCTGATCGCCCCTAACCACTCTACCTGCCTGCCTGATCACCCCTAACCACTCTGCCTCCCTGCCTGATCGCCCCTAACCACTCTACCTGCCTGCCTGATCACCCCTAACCACTCTGCCTCCCTGCCTGATCGCCCCTAACCACTCTACCTGCCTGCCTGATCGCCCCTAACCACTCTGCCTCCCTGTCTGATCGCCCCTAACCACTCTGCCTGCCTGTCTGATCACCCCTAACCACTCTGCCTGCCTGTCTGATCGCCCCTAACCACTCTACCTGCCTGTCTGATCACCCCTAACCCCTCTGCCTGCCTGATTGCCCCTAACCACTCTGCCTCCCTGCCTGATCGCCCCTAACCACTCTACCTGCCTGCCTGATCACCCCTAACCACTCTGCCTGCCTGCCTGATCGCCCCTAACCCCTCTGCCTGCCTGATCGCCCCTAACCCCTCTGCCTGCCTGATCGCCCCTAACCACTCTGCCTGCCTGATCGCCCCTAACCCCTCTGCCTGCCTGATCGCCCCTAACCCCTCTGCCTGCCTGATCGCCCCTAACCACTCTGCCTGCCTGATCGCCCCTAACCCCTCTGCCTGCCTGATCGCCCCTAACCCCTCTGCCTGCCTGATCGCCCCTAACCCCTCTGCCTGCCTGATCGCCCCTAACTCCTCTGCCTGCCTGATCGCCCCTAACCCCTCTGCCTGCCTGATCGCCCCTAACCCCTCTGCCTGCCTGATCGCCCCTAACCCCTCTGCCTGCCTGATCGCCCCTAACCCCTCTGCCTGCCTGATCGCCCCTAACCCCTCTGCCTGCCTGATCGCCCCTAACCCCTCTGCCTGCCTGATCGCCCCTAACTCCTCTGCCTCGGCCCCTGCAGCTGCATCTGGAAAGACGTCCAGAAGGTTGCTCAGCCACCCGGTCTAATGAGCACATTATGCTTTTATTATTACACATTTTTAACATATTTTTACTGATTTCAGAGAGGAAGGGAGAGGGAGAGAGAGAGAGAGACATAGACACATCCACGATGAGAGAGAACCCTGGACCGGCCGCCTCCCGCACGCCCCCCGACTGGGGATGGAGCCCGCACCCCCCGGAACCGAACCCTGCCCGCCTGGGCCACCGGTCGGTGCTCAACCACTGAGCCACCTGGTTTGTCTGTTGATGCAAATTGCATGGCTTCTCACCTTTTTTTTGGGGGGGGGGACGCATGGCAAGATCAAAGGGTTGCATTCTGGGTGCGGAAAGGCCGAGAAAACCCGCACCCCGGCCCCCAGGGGTGGGGGGGTGTCAGACAGTCGGTTAGCAGCTGAGGTGCTTGTGTCAGGGCCACCGGCTCACCCCCCCTCCCACACACACACACAGGGGCGTTCATTGGCCGCCGCGTGTATTTATAGCCCGTGTCCCACTTTCCCTGGAACGGGCCAGGGCATGGATCCCTGCACCATTTTTATTTTTATTTATTTTTATTATTATTATTTTTTTTTAAAAAAGGTGTTTTTGGCGTTTTCAAAGCGGGCACAGCTC